CACTCGTAGCTAATGTCCTCAGTGGCTGCCCAGTAGAAACCGGGGTGTGGGGTGCCACAGAGGGGGGACAAGATCTCCATGCCCACATGGTCCCAGAACTTCATTCTCAAATCCACGTCCACGAACACCAGGTCTTCCATGTCACAGATGAAGCGCTGCTCGCAGAAGCGGCTGAGCATCGCTATGTGCCGCACGGACACATCCTGCCAGTGAAGGACGCCACGGACTTCGACGACCACCACCCTGCAGCCCTCCCAGATTGGCACACGGGACACAGCAACCAGCTGGTCGGTGAAGACGTAGTAAGTGACGCTGTGTCCACCATGACGACCACCACAATCCGGCCCAAATGGAGGGGCACACAGGTGCCAGCAGCCGGCTGATTGGTGAAAACCTCGTAGGTGACCCCGTGCCCCACCATGTAGTGCTTAACTGCCGGCTGCAGGAACAGCTCCAGGAAGACCATGCATCCACAGGTGCAGTGGACAGGGCAGGAAGAGGGTCACTGCCAGAGGCTGGCAGCAGGACACCAGAGTTGGGGGCCATAGACGTGTGCACCTTCTTCAAGGGGGCAGGCCCTGGGCTGCTTTAAGCAACAGCCACCTCCTCACCTTCCTGAGGGAAGCTGCCAGCAGGACCTCCCTAATAACTGTTCCCAGAGATGGGGGGCATCAGCAGCCTGTCTTCCAAAGGGGAGCCTGAGGCTTTGGAGGCTGGAAACCCATGCAGCCCCACGGTCAGCATGCTGGAGCCAGGAACACTCCCCCTGTGCTGAGCTCCTGGGCAAACACTGCAGGTGCCCTCCACTGGCCGCCCCCCCTACAGATCCTATCCCAACCTTCCAGGAACGAAGCACCTTTGGGCACAGCCCTCATTTCCATGTCTTACAGAGCAGCTAGGATCAGCAGGGCCGGCCACCCGTCCCGCTTTGCTTTGAGTGGACTGCCGCTGGCCTCCACAGACCTGTCTCCACTTCCTGTAGGGTCCTCCCTGGAAGACTGCTGGGCATCCTGCTGACAAGGAGCTCAGTAAGCCACTGGTATTCCTAGGAGGGGTCACACTCAAACTCTGCCACATCAGGAATCAGATCCATCCCGTGGACAGGGAAGGCAAAATACGACACCAGGAAGAAGAGGGGGCATGCTTAGGCCCCAGGCTTGAATCCAAGGGTGTGAGCTTCCAGGTCCAGGTCTACATCTCCCCGGCCCCCAAAGGTTCAAAGTCTTGTCGATCCATGTCCCATGGCTGGTCCCCCTTTAAGGGTAATACCTGCTCCCCCTATGAGTACAGCAGCTCCCCCATTATCAGGAAGTGTGGTGAGCCCCTCTGAGACTGATGTTTTTGCATAGGCGCTAAGGTGACTTCCCTGTGCCTGCCCCATACCCGGCAGGTTAGTAAATTGCTCACAAATGAGGGCAATACATTTAAATAGGGGACAAGCACACTCAAGCAGCAGACATGAGTCAGGTCAACAGAGGGCAAGTCCAAACCCAGCCAATGGGGGAACAAGACAGATATGAAGCAGGGGGATAAAAGAGGGATCCTGGAAGAGGGCACAGCAAAAGCAAAGGCTTGTAGTCAGGCCCAGGGCATATGTGGAACGACCACACACTTGGGTGGCCCCCAGAAGGGGGGGCCGTGGTGGAAGAGGTGAGGCTGGAGAGGACGGGCAGGAGGGGAGCAGACCAGAGAGAGGCCCAAAGTTTATGTTCCGAAAATATCACTCTAGTTACCAGAAGAGAATGTTTTCTGAGCGGCAGAGGACAGGGAGACCCTAAGCCTAACCCTAATCCCTAACTCCTAACCCTAACCCTATCCACTATTACCAACCCCACAAAATCAGCAAAATACATTCCTACATTCCTTAAAGTAGATGTAAGAAGATAGATCAGAAGAATTGCAAAAC